AAGACACGTAGCCATACAAATGGACCAGCCTCATCTTTCTAATGTTTCCACCAGATAGAATCTTAAACGACTGTCCTTGGCGCCAAAACACACTGGAGCAGTATTTAGCTTCTGCCAGGGACCTTAAATGAAAATACTCCTATTTACTTCTTTATTTTTTCATGACCATGGAAATCGTTGGACTTGCATTCCATTCAGGGGAAAATTGCTTGCCGTTTTCAGTGAAGAAGCAAAAACATGAATGTCGTGACCATTGCTTTTTTCGTTCAATGTATAATTAAACAATTATTAGATTGGGTTTTTGTGACATCCAGAATAATCAAGGTCTCGGTAAGGGTTATCAGCCAAAGCCGAAGGCTTCGGCTGATAACACCTACCTCGACCTTGATTATTCTGAATATCACAAAAGCCTCACCCAATATTTGTTTATAATTCGCTGTTTTATTGGCAGATTGTTGCAAATTTGGCAAAAGCTTAATTTTAACCGGGGGTCGTTTCCCATACTAAAAATTCAGAAACTTAATTGTAAAAAAAAGTCCGAAGCTTTTTCTCGTCCTATTCACTTAGTTTTGTTGTAATTGAAGATTATTTCTTCAACATTGAGTATCCGTTGTTTTATCGTAAGAAAATGTTCTCTGAATACTGGCGAAATGATGATTTTAGTCCACGTCTTAAGCCATCCGATCTTGCATGCATCGCATAGCACAGTCTAAAGTGCACAACTGTGCTTTTTTTTTTATTAAACCACCAAACATTTTTCAATCAGTGCAACGTTTTCACAAATTCATATAGAAAAATACCAACCTCCATGCTTTCGGTTTAATCGTTCCACTGCTTTTGTCAACTCAGCAATCTGGGCGCGGAGCTCTGAGCAAAGAAAGGAACAAACAACAAGTACACCAACTTTTAATAATGCTGAAGATTCGCATTTTTTGCTTTTTACTTGTTTATGGGGCAGGTCATTACCTGACCCAAAACAATCATTTCTATCACATGATGGCTAACTGGTTGTCATGGAAATTAAACGAACGAATTGGAAATAAAGGTTCCTTCTGACTCACTTTTGATGCGGCTCGCTGACGTCATTGACATGCCCAAAAGAGCCAGTATGACAATGTTAAATGTGAGTTTCATGGGGAGTGAATGACGCTCCTAGGAACAAGAGATCTACAAGAAAAAGCCAGAAATAAATCATAACAAAATAACCACCCAAAATTAAACGCGGTTGCTGGATGAAATGTAATGTGTTGCATTTAATTTTCTTCTGGAATTTTTCATTTCCAAACCTACAATCGAAGTTACTTTGATATTGTTTCGTTGTGCTTTTTTTTTTTCTTCTTCTTGTGAGAGGTTATTCTTTTTATTTAAATATAGCTTTACTCAGCAGTTACATA